ATTACACCACTCTGTGAAGGAATTATTATGTTAAACATAAAATCAAATTAAGTACATTCAGAATGACAATAGTCGGAATAAAATGTCAGTTTATTTTAGATAATTTTCTCTTGTAAGAAAAAAATTCTTAAAAAATTGAAAAAAGATCAATTTACAAGAGGTTAGGGACGTTAAAGATATTCAATCGGGAATAAATTCTTGGTAATCTTCAAGGCGGTTGATCAGTTTTACAGGTATTAGTCTCAACGCTTTAATACTAATCAATTAACAAAATTTTTGTTAATACTTAATACTATAAACATGAACTCAAAATAAAAAATTTCTTCTTAACTTACGTAAACTCTCACAATTTGCGTAATGAAGTGTTGGACCGATATTAAAGATGGTCATCGGTCCTAGAAGACCGCGGTCCTACGGTCCTACACCATAAAAAGACGGACTGGTCCGTCTTAGTGTAGGACCGCGGTCTTTCGGTCCTGTATCACATATAATAAGACCGTCAGTCTTTTTAAGGACCGCAGTCTTTTTAAGACCGATCGGTCTTTTTTCTTTTTTTTGCAAATAAAAAAAGATTTTCTTCCCTAACTTTATTAGGAATAGCCTTGTTTTATAAATGAACACTAATTGGGATGGTTTTTAATATAAATTTTTTTTTTTACAAATCACCTGGATATCATCACAACGTCATGCAAAATTTAAAGCTTTGAGAAAAAATACTTCAAAACACAATATCTCGCTATCCAGTGATTATAAAAGGATGATTTTACCACCATTCGAATCGTCTCGCTGCGGCATGTCGAATGGTATCAAAATCATGATTTTAGAATTGATAAAAAAAAAATTACGTCAGCAAAACTATTTGATAATAAATTCAATAATTACCGACTATCTATCGATCCTAGAAACATGATTTAGTCACCATTCGACGCGTCTCGCTGAGACGATTCGAATGGTGGTGGTTTCATCCTTTTATGATCACTGAATGAAGAGATATTCCGCTTAAACGCTTTTTTGGAGTTTCGGAGTTTCAGCGTTTTGACAAGCAACTCTACAAGTGGGAAGAGTGATTGTTATTATTTATTGGTTTAGAAATGGCCGGTCTTTATATTATTTTATGAAGACCTTTGTCAGATTAATAGGTTTATTCAATATAAAAATCATTTATTATATGAAGACCGGTATGAGGACTGGTCGGTCCTCAGGACCGGTCCTACTGCGCCACAAAAAAATGCAAGACCGCGGTCCGGTCCTACAAGTCCTGGGACCGACCGGTCCAGGACCGAGTAGGACCGGTAGGACCGATGACCATCCTTAACCGATATGGTAACATTTTCTAAATGATGAATTTGTCACTTGTCATTCCATGCCAAAATTGTAATATCTCAAGTTCAAGTATGAATAAATTTGGGCGTCGCAAATTCATAATCTCTTCGCGGTGAGAATCACAAATGAAGTGTATCAAGGAAAATGATATTGGACCCACTTTCCAATTATTTTAACGAGAATAATTTTTATTATTATAATTACGACAAGTTTTTGGTTTAACGTTTGCCCGTAAAAGTTGAGTTACTGAAAATAGAATCACTGCAACTTGAAAATGTTAAAAAAAAAAAAAATGCAGTTTGAGTAATTAGTAAAAATAAATATTCTGCATTCACGTTTCCTACTGTACCTTACCTCAACAACAAAAGGGTTTTGTTGTCTTGTACGTTATTTCGTCTTTTTAAGTAACGGTATAACGTTCCTTCACGTCCTATAAATTATTTATCAGGACATTTTGAAAGAAAATTTTTTTAGAAATAAAATGCAATGCGAGTTTCACAAATTATAAATAGCGAAATTTATTGTCACGTGAGATTCAGACTAACAATTAATTTTAAAGATTTATATTTTTTTCTCTCTCAGAGTAAGATATTTTTATGTAGACTAGATAACCAAAGTCCCGAAAGTTTTTTTTTATCAGCCTGTAAATGAATAATATAAACTTTGGCCGCTTTATAGAGAAAGTCGGTGATTGGAACATTATTAAATCTAATAATAATGAAATTTTCATTCAACCTTGACTAAAGCAGATATACAAACAATATCGCGTGATTGAATTAGAGGAAAGTATCATTTTTTGTGGCGCGTACTCTATAACTAATCAGGCAATCGAGTGTTGAGGTTTTGCTGAGTATAAAAACTGATGAGCGGCACATGTGCTTGGGCATAGAAACATCAGTCGGAATAAGCATCCGTGACATTTTGTGAACTTCTTTTCTATCTAATATTTCAAAAGTGCATGAAAAATAATTTATAAATTCAAATATGTACAAGTATTTATTCAACTACATACCATTTCAAGTAATCTGGAAACCGAAAATTAAACTAGATGATTTAGAATTTTTAAACAATTATTAAATTTAATAACAGAACTTCCTATTTTTTCATTCTCAATTGAATAATTATCTGATTTAATTTTTAAATATTTTTGTTAAATAAGTGAATTAATTGTTTAAATAACATTACATCAAGATAGGCGTGTCAATTTACAGCTAATTTTGAAGTTTTCGTTTCAATTATTAATGACATTTCGGTTTAATGCTTTTTCCGCTTTTAACCTCGATCTATAGGAGTGAAGGATGAAACTCTCTATATTTCCAATATGGCTGGTAGACTCAAACAGACAATATTGAGGTTTCTCATCTTGAAACACTTTCATCAAATTATCATAACTTAACCCATGTAGTATTTGTCAAAGAGCTATCCTAGGATGCGGGCGCTGATATAAAATAAAATTGGCTTTTAAAAATAAAACACTAGAGATTTTAAAGAAGAGCATTCAATATTAAGCCAAGAGTATTAAAAGATCCATTGGTGGCTATAAAGCATGAGCCACCAATTATGGGTCGATCACGAACAACCTATCCATGGGCCATTTCGCTACTTTCAATCTTAACAATCAATATCCTTAGTAGATTTTTTTTTCTTTACATTTTACAAGAAATTTTACGTTAAAATTAAGATATTTCCAAGAACTTCGCATTCCCAGATAATCATTTTCCCGATTTATTCGATTATAACGATATTTTAAATTTTTTTATTTATTATTTTGTAGTTTTTTTTATATATATTGTACTACTTTATATTTTATAACCATTATGTAATACAAATTATTTATCTCCTAAACGAATAAATCCACCTTTTAATTAAATTATATGAATAATAACTTCGTTCCATATTATAAATAAATAATTTCAATTATTTATTGAAATACCAAGCACTTATCTCAACATTGATAATTGAGGATGACCGATGACATAGTCCAGTTCTTGTCATTCTTGAAAAGATATATCGTTTGTCGATATTTCTTTGATTCATTCTAGTGATAATTTTACGTCTTTAGCATAAGTTGAGTTGATAATGCTTATCTGTCCAAAACTCGTAAAATTGTGGAAAAAATCATTGGATCAAATCTACTAAATAGTTGGTTGTTCTCAAGTACTGATTGTAACCGAGAGGCTATAAGGGCTAAAGATTTTTCAAGATTAAAATTAATCATAAATTTTAATGTAAATGTAATTAAAATAAAATATTGAGATCTTTCTTTTGCAAAAAGAAGAATAAAAGATAAAAATTATAATTAAATTAAAACATTTAGAATATTCTTCACGTACTGTACATCTCTATATTTCTCACAATATTGTGGCCATCCTAAAACAATATGTCCTCAAATTCCATACTAGATTTTTATTTAGTTACGTACTATGTACTATATATATTAAAAGTCCTTTTGCTGCAAAAGTTTTCTTTTATTTTAAAAAAAACCAAATACGCTGTAAGTTTTCAATTGAAATTTTCTTTTACTTTTTTTTTCAAAATGAGAATTATTTATCATAATCATATTTATTAGTAACTATCATATAATTAAATAACAAAAAAGCTTGAATTTTTGATGATAACCAACAACTTTGATTTTACGAAAAGAGAAATTATTAAATCAAAAATGGAAAGCAGTCCTCATCTTTATTATGTGAATTTTACAGGACAATTTCATTTTCACAAAAACAGGAAATTTAAAGATTTTACCGAATTTGGAGTAATTTTTATTTCTAATAAGATTAATCGAATCGGTTTAACATATAATTTTGCGTTTATAATAAGTTTGCGTATGATTCACATGACATTTTATATATTAATATTATGTTAAATTTCATAATGTTGATTTAAACAGTATTTAATCCAGTTACAAATTAATTAATGCACTTATTTTCTTAATCTAAACGTAACTTTTACACTTACTATATAATTAAATAAAAGTTCATTGGATGAAATATTTAATACCTTACCGCTAACATTTACTAAAATAAAAGTATAAAATTAATTAAACAAATGCTTTACATAAAGAAATTAATTGACCCCATTAAAATAAAATTCCCATTTTATTAAAGAATATCAAATTCATCCATAACTTACTGGAAACGTAAATCATTTTCATTGCTAACGTAACGGTATTAATAAAGTCATTTTTTTATCAAGTGTAATGCTAAATGAATTTTATTATATTTAATAATTAGTGAAATCTTTTTTTTTACCTTTTACGTTTAAAGTTGCAAATTTCTTTTGATAACTCCCACGATTTCTCAGGCCATAGTTACTAATAGATTATCTTAAATAGTGCTGATAGAAAATTACAGCTGTAATGAATATTGAATATGTAGTACATGAACATAAATGAATTTGCTATACCACTAAAAAATAAAATTACACTTTAATTAATAAACCGAAAACTGTTCTCTAAACTTTTTAAAAAACATTGATTTTTTTTGATTTTGAAGTGGAAGTTCAACATTATTAAATAAATAAAAAAAAGAACCCTATTTTATTTTAAAAAACTGAATTTTTTTTATAAAAAAAACAATTCTGTATGTTCTCTATTTAAATCTTTAAAATTTAGAATCAAAGTAATTATTAAAAATACACTGTGTACATAAAATAAATATATTTTGAAAATAAAAAGTCCGTCAAGAAAAAAGTCTATCTAATAACCCCCAAGGGCGGATACAAATGTTGAGTTGTGCGTTATTCCTATTTATGTACAATATGTATTATAATTTTTTTAATTAAAAAAGCATAAGGCATTAAATGAAATTATTGTACTATAATAATAATTACCCATCATTTATTGATCCGTCAATGGTCGTCGAATGTGCTTTAAAATCCAAAGTATTTGACCCTGTATTTCCATTTTCTTTCAAATATTCATTTATAGATCTTTCATCTGGAAAATCAGGATCTGTTTCATAGCCAATAAAGACAAACCATTTGTTTTTTCCGATGATTGATATCTAATAAAGAAATAAACATGGTTATTTTTTCCTGCCCATAGAATATATTTGGCAAAGATCTTCAAAATACGAAAGTCAAAAAATAAAGACTTACCTTCCGACCTACAATAAGAAGTAATGGTAAGCTATCCTCACACCTATCATCAATTTCATAAGTAACAATTCCATAAGCCTTTTTGATAGTCGATTCGAGTTTACTGTAAAAACCAAAAGGTATGTTGACTATTTAAACAATTTAATATTAAAAAATATCAAACTTGTTACTTACATAGATTCCGTTTCTCTGCGATTAATCATCACGGGCAATGGAGTAATTAATTTATTTCCAATTCCAAGAACACTTCTTCCATGATGTAATGTATTCCTTGATTGAGTATTATTAATATTAATTGTTATTCTGTTAATCAATATGTTTTTGGTAAATTTAGCAGCTGACAAAATGAGTGATTCTTGAATAGACATTACGGCCTAGCTTGCATACTTAGATGTTTTTGAGTAAGTTTTTGTAAGTTTATTAAAAAGAGAATATTTCTTGAAATTTAAATGAGATTTTTGAGTAATAACAATAAAAAAAAAAAAAATTTTCAATGTAAAATTTGGGTTCTTAAATATGGAATATGGAGACACCCTGATGGTTATTAAAAAGGTAGAAAAAATAGGAATGTTCTTTTTAGAATTCTGCAATTATGTCCCGATCGCTATAATCGATTATTACACTTATCCATTTTTATAATTCACTCTAAATATGTATATCACATATCACGTGGTTAGTGACAGTTAGACACATCTACACGTGAACTTAATCTAACATTTGTCACATTTGGCAAATTATTTCTATTTTAATATAAAATGAGACATAATATTCCCAATAAACAGTGGGTGTGTAACCTTCCAGATTCGTCGTATTCATTTCTAGATTTTAACACATCATGATATTTGTTACACACTATATCTGTAACAAATAAATAAATAAATAGAATGCATAGAAAGAGTTAATAATAAAGTGCATAAATTTTGGTTGGGTAAAAAACTATACCTCAGACCTCAGTTATATACTGTATAACTCCTTTTTAGTTATTATTATTGTGTGTTTGCTTAATATTATTGCAAGGAATTTTTTTTTTTTTCGACCATCATTTATGTAATAGTTATTTCATGGGAATCCGTGGATATCATTAATTTTCACGGCGCAACTGTTTTATCCCCTGGAGACTAACGTCCTGTGATGAAAATAATTTATAAAAAGCTTATTTTATTATCCGCGTTTAATATTAATATTTTCATGATTATAAAAATATCACTATGAAAAATCACGGGCGACCATTAGTAAACATGGGATAAATGCGTATTATACGCTCAAATAATAAACCCATGATCAAGATCTATATTATGATATCTTTTAAAGTTATAATTGCTTCATTATTTTTTGAAAAATTTCGCTGTAAATATTTACTTTGAACAGAAAAATATAATAAAAAAATAAATTAAAATTATAAAGCATTTGAATATTGAATTTAAATTAAAAACATTCAAATATTGTTAAGAATAATGTAAAAAAGTTGATACCAAAAAATCAGCAGTATAGAAACATTTATGGTAGAATGATGAGAAATTTACTCTTCAAAATTCCTCAATTTCGGTATATAGTAAAAAAGCTAAAAAATTATTCAAATTACAAAAATGCGTGTAGTTCGCTCAAAATAAGGCCAATTTTTATCATTTAAAATGCAAAATAATCTTGAATATCAGGGCTACATTCTGACATCTTTCATGATCATAATGCTTTTTTACTTCTTGAGAAAATTAACTACAAGTGTTGATTTTTGAAGAAAAATATAATTTGAAATTTGTGAATTTATAATGAATACAAAGTCATTGAAAATTTCTCAAATATTATCAAGACAAATAGAAAAGTATAAATTAAAATTTTTTTTTTTTGACTTTTATGCAAAGAAATACACATTAATTTTAAATTAGTTATAAAAAGTTTTAATCTAAAAATATTATTATTATAAGCTTAATTATAAAAAAAAAATACTGCATTAAATACCATTTTAATTTACCATTGATAAAATCTACAGATTTTCAGCTTTCGAATAAGCTATTTTACATATAATTTGGTGCTCATAGGGAATATAGGGAAAATCACCATTGGATTCTAGAAACGAGTAATATTAATATTGCCTATTTTATTGAATTTTTTTCCTCTTTTATTCGGCTAAAAATAATAAAAATATAACAATAAAATTTGGGACTATGTACTGTACATATTAATAACAAATAATTTAGAACAATATTAGAAAAAGAAAAAATTTTTTTTTTCATTCGAAAGAATAAAAATATGATACTGTGTATTTATTATTTATTATAAAATTATTGAATAAATCGGTGAGATTACCTGTCAGAAACGGTTATCAGTGAAATGATTGTAATTGTCAAATTTTGAGTCGAATGCGTTCCGTATAGGTAGTCAACCGGTTGCTGTTTTTGTCTTGTTTTTATTTCATAGAAAAGAATTTAATACATCTTGTTTTAAACATAAAAATTTAGGTTTATAATAGCTATTCGAAAGCATATTTTAAATAACTAGGGACATTGAGAATTCGCAACTTTCGTATCGTTAGTATTGCATTGTTTTAGTGTGATGTTTTTGTCATTCTATTTTTGGCAATTTTTTGTAGACATTTTTTTATCGTTGAAATTTATATTATTCTATACTAATTTATGATCGATTTATATTTAAATTTATACGATTTTATAACTCAAATTTAATGTAATAATTTATTATAAGAAATTTCCATATTTAATAATATGTTTGCGTTTTTTGCTGATATAAATGATATTAAGCTAAATAAAGTTTGCATCAATAAATTTTTTACACACGTGATATTCCACCCTACTTAAATTTGCAGTCTTTGGTTACAGTTTTTGACCTAAACCTCTGTGTCACTTCCGTGACTATGACGTTAATTATCTAGCAAGCGAATGTAAGCGCTACCATACGAGCTACCGCTCACTGCAATCTTAGTGCTTACTTTCAGCGAATTTAGATGTAATTGGGTCTTTAGTCTTTACAAAGATTACAAAATAATACCTTGGAAATGCAAAACTATTACAACCTAGTTACTATTACAGACAATAATAATATGTAATTAAATTTCTTGTTTTAAAGTTCATAAGTAAGATACAATTCGATATAGAACAACTCTTGTTTTTTATATAAATAAAATGCTCTTTTCAATTTAAATAATTTAAATGAATTATTTATTCTAATGGAGTTATTATATAAAGCCATTATGAATCTATAATATTTGTAATATTTTTCTCGATCACCAAAGGTGGCCTTAGAGCTAACTAGCACGATGGAAACCTACAAGAGGACTCCCAGTTACCAGCATGCTCCTGTTCAGAATTATCAATATCCCAACTTGAAGCCTTATAGACCAAGACTCAGACCTAGTAGAACCCCCTATTCATCCTTCATCCATGTTTTGGTAATTATGAATCTATAACTTGTTGACTGTTGAATGATCGTCCATCCGCGACTTACCTATTATAGTTTCCCAAGTTTCACAAAAACTTTGTATATAAATAAGCGGCATCCACTGTATTCGCCATTTCTCAGAAATCTGTTGTTTCGATAGAGGGGCTATAAAAAGTTCTGGCAAGCAATTTTATATACGAGAAATGTAATATCGCCACTTTAATAGAATAAATAGCGCAAAACCTGAGGTAGGTAACAATAAAATTAACTTATGACTACAACTATTTCAGTAGCGTTACGGGCTCAAACCTAGGAAATTGTAATTTAAAATTATTGGAAAAAATGAGCTAATTCATAAATTGTATGATTTCCCTTGATACATTTCATTAGGTAATGATTTAATTTCAATTCAAATGCAAGTACATGATATTAATGGCATTTATACCGCAGCTTCGGACATTTACAATTTTGGTATGCAGTCGTAACGAACCTGCACTTTATTATTATAGATCTATTACGCGAGTTGAAAGTTTTGAATCCTCTAGGGCTTATATTGATTTGATGGTGAATACTATCAACCGCTCATCAAAAACTTACACATTCAAAATCTGTAAAAACACTTAGGTTATGTTGATGTTTAATTGAATCAATTTTCTTTCAAGTTTTCTTGAAGAATTTATTTTATGAAACATTCAGAATGATTCTAATGATAAAATGGACGTTCCATCCTGATCATGCATAATCCAAAAAATTTTTATACCAAAGAACTTGATACTGCAGGTATTGATTTATTTAATCAAACGTTTATTTATATTATTCATATATTCATATTTGCTAAAAATCTTCTCCATAGTTTTTGTAAAGATAGTGAAGATCAAGATGGTGAAAAGAGGAGAAGGATTAGTTGTTACAACTATCGTCACTTTAATGATTCTATGTTCAACACAACTCCTTCCATTAAAAGAATCTACAGCGTTAGATGGATGAACAGTAATGTAATGATCTGTACAACAATTGATCTTACTTCCAGTTCAACAATTTTAGTTATTATTACGATATTAAAGCGATTAAAAATATATCATAATGCATTTAACAAAAGTCCCAATTAAGAAACAATCAGGAGGGGCCCTACTGTATAATCAATTTAAATGACCGTCTAAATGCTGTTTGAGAACTTGTTGCAGAAATTAACAGTAACGAGCAATGAAGGAATTCATTATGATGTCTTAGAGGTACAAATGATACTCCATCAAATGCGTCTATCAATACGGCTTGTTACAAAAGTCAATATTGAAGAGGTTGTATCTTCTGGTATATGCGTTTTGAACAACTAGGGAGCGCAATTTCAATATTTTGGTTGTGAGTTATTACATCCGTCAAGTTAAGCAAGCATCAATTTATAGATCAAAAATTAGTAAAGTCAGGAGGTGTATACGCGACGGACGATGATGGAAGAATGGGCGTACTCTTAACAAATACATCAAGGATTGCTTAAATCAGTGTCTAATTTAAAAACCAAATGTGATCGAATGTGGTCGATCGAGATGATTTGGATTGCGTCTGCCATACTCTATAATAGTAAGCTTTTTCTCTTTTATCTCTTTGTGATACTCAGTTTGTTATATTAACTATATCTTTTTTAAAAAACGTCTTTGTCATCCATTCGTTTATTTTATAAACCTATCTGGACGACAAAAGAATTAGAAGAGATAAAGAAATAAACAATCATACAATTCATACAACTTATAAATATACATGAATAGGAAATTACTTAGAAACTTCATCAGCAAAGATTTGATTTTTAACAACATTTAAATTAGATATCATTTTAGTGGCACGATGTAGTCTGTAGCAGTACTGTAAGCGTGTTTATATTTCGACGGTACTTATAGTATATATTAGATTTATTGTAGAATTTTAATTATTCATTTATTTTATAGTTTATTCTTTTTCTATTATTCCAAGATTCTTATAATTTTGTAGATTTCTTTTTATATTAGGTATTCAATTTTTTTTTTTGATCTTAACAATTAGCTAAATCAAGTCTTTCTTATCTGGTATTGATCATATTAAATAATGATCATAATACTTTATTTACGCGCAACAACAAGCTTTCTCCAAAAATGTATAAATTTTCAATTAATAAATCTGTTATTTTTAGAAAATTCTTATAGAATAATCATTTTATTACGAAAAATTTCATGAATTTTGATAAGATTTAAATTTATAAACATAAATGAGGATTCAACTTATTTTAAAATTAAATGAATCTAATTATTTTGGACTACTATATATACATGATAAGAAAAATAAAAATAAAAAAATTTTTCTATGTTGATACATTGATAAAATTATGTGTAATATCCCAGATTTAAATTTGGAATAATCTTATATATGTAAATCACTCTTTTAGCATTTTCATTTCGTCTACAGCCAGACCTTGATATACCACTATATGAGAGAACATACAAATATCAGTATAATTTGATATAACGATATTATTCAACTGAATGATTTTCCAATATATCGTTATTCTGAGTTTTAATGTGCGGAAATGAAAATTTTTCAACGAAACACTTTTTTGATTTACAATAAATAAACGTTTGATTAAAAATCAATTCCTATAGTATCAAGTTCTTAGGTGCGAATATTCTTAATTGTGTAACTTTGATCGGGATGTCGCGTCCGTTTATTATTAAAATAATTAATTCTAAATCTTTCATAAATGAAAACTTGAAAGATTGATAAATTTAGGCATCATCATCTTAATTGTTCTAATTCATTAGACGCAATAAGGACTTGATAATACATTCACCATATACCCCGCCGACTGGGACAAACTTTACCCATCAGGATATCATTAACATATTTTCTCGCTTGAACCAGACGTCTCGTAGTAAATTGCAAATGGCTCAGCATTAAACTGACACTTCATCTCGAAAAATTTGACGAATCTCTTGCTGGGTCTCTGTATAACCTAATAATTCTGCGCTTTCCTCTTCTTTTTCAACTTGTTTTTTATCAATGCTCTTTTTGTTAGAGAAAGGATAATAATAGATATTATTTTAAAAAATTTTCTTAGAATTCTTATTTTGATTTTTGAGGAGATTCTTTTCTATTTCTTTATTTCTTTTCTTATTTGAATTTGTCATCTATGAACGAATAAACTCCGGCCCTTGTTAAGAAAAATCGGTAGGGACCTTAAAAAGGATTTGGTACTAGGTCTACATAGCCCTAAATCCACTAATTAAACAATAAGAGAAGAGGAGGCTTTAACTATCTATTCGAGATAAGAATGGGTGTATATCTTCTTAGTGGTACATCTGTACCCATCAAAGCCCAAAATAAGTTCTATTCACCATTATGAGATATAATAACTAAATGTCTGCTAAATTCTTTTACTTTGATCCATAAATTTTCATTACTATTAGGCTATCAGCTATCACCATCTCGACTATTGCGTGAAAGTGTGAAATTGAAATTAAAGTGTATGCACAATTAAAAGAAAGAAGTGCACAATATAGTGAAGGGATATTTTATAAACGCTTTTTTCCTAAAGGGACTTTATCAACCAATTTCTTTTCACTCGTTTAGATGAATTTTTGAATTTTTACAAATGTGTTTTTCTTCAAGAAATTTCATAATCAATCTTACAAACACGTTTAGTTATCAATTTCGTAAACGCGTTTGAATAAATTTTTATAAGTGTTTTTTTCTTCAAGAGTAATAAATAACATTAATCCACGTAATCCACGATGTTATTAGAGAATGGAGAAACAAACTATGAAAAATTTTTCAGAGAAAGGCTGTCGCATCAGCTGAGACTACGATTTTTGATTAACAAATTTATTTCAGTAGAAAAATCGTGATATGACTAGGGTGAGGGTAAGGATAAAGAGGACTAAGTGGATTATTGCAATAAGTGGATAGATTAGGAAAAGGTAATGGCCTAATAGCAAGACTATATAGTGATGTTTTAAATGAGTATATAATAAGTGTAAATAGGAGCTGGTTTGAAATTGAGTAAATTTTCTATTTCTTTATCATCAAATCAATGTAAGCCCTAGAGGGTTCAAAAAATTTTTAATACCTTAACGTGAATTCAAAAGCAAAAAAATCCCTTCAACTTACGTAAGCTCCTATAAATTGCGTAGTAAAGTGTAGGATCGTTATAACTTCCAGATTATTTTATACTAAAATGTGTATAAACGTTCAAATCAATATTTGAACCATTGCCGCATATGACTCATTTCCAAAAATATTTTACGAATAAAATCGCGGTAAGTTTCTTGGTTAACGTTCGCCTTCATCCGTAAAATAAAGCTATTAAAATAAAATAGTTGTGAAAATGCTGTAACCATTAAATTGTTGTTTGAGTAAATGTCCTAGTTAACTTTATACCTCAAGAGGGTTTTTCCTACTTTGTGCGCTATTTATTCAATTCCTATCAAGACTTTTTTAACTGGCTCCCCTATGAACAACAGAGAAAATTTAGTGCTGAACACTATAATAAAAGATAATATATATCGTTCATTAATTGCTTCACTAATTTTGACGCCCCTATTTGTTCAAACAAAACGCACATATCAGAAAATATAACTTACTTCAGTCTTGACCTTTGTAACAAGTCATATTGATAGACGTATTTATAGAGTAATATTAGTACCTTTCAGACAAAATGAATTCCTGCATCGCTCGTTATTGCTAATTTTCACAACAAGTTTCTCGAACAGTAGTTGGACGTTAATCTAAATTGTTTACACAGTAGGAACCTCCTGATAGTTTCTTAATAAGAACTTTCGCTTGAAAGTATATTATAATCTCATGACAATAACATAATAATAACTAAAAATGTTGTGAGATTAATCGGTATACAGATTATTACATTACTTCTCAACCATCTAACGCTGCAAATTTCTCTTTTAATGGAAAGGGTTATACTGAACATAGAATGACGATAGTTGTAGCAACTAATCCTTCTCTTCCTTTTCACCTTCATTTTGATCATCACCATAACAAAACTATGAAAAAGATTTTAGAAAATATAACCATTTAAAAAATATGACCAAACATTTGATTAAATACATCAATATCTACAGTATCACGTTCTTTGATATAAAAATTTTTTTGAATTATGCATGGACAAGGATTATGTTGATCATAAAATCAAATTAAATACATTAAGAATGACAATATTCTCAACTATTAATAAATTTAATCAGAATAAAATGACAGTTGATTTAGGTTGTAAATAAGTTTCTTTAAAGAAATTGAAAAAAGATTAATTAAGGAAGGGAATTAGGGTAAGAGGATTAGCGTAAAGGGTAGGAAGATTTTAAATATAATCATACTCTCATCTAGATATTCAATCGTGACTAAATTCCTTCCAAAGCGGTTGATTAGTTTTACAGGTATTAGTCTATATTAATCAATATAACAAATTTTTTGTTAATACAACAATATGAATTCAGAATAAAAAATTTCTTCTTAACTTACGTAAACTCTCACAATTTGCGTAATGAAGTGTTGGGCCGATATGGTCACATTTTCTAAATGATGAATTGTCACTCGTCATTCCATGCCAAAATTGTAAATGTCTCAAGTTCAAGTATGAATAATTTGGGCGTCGCAAATTCATAACCTCTTCGCGGTGAGAATCACAAATGAAGTTTATCAAGGAGAATAATATTGGACTCACTTTCCAATTATTTTAACGAGAATATCTATTATTGTAATTATGACAAGTCTTTTGGTTTAACGTTTGCCCGTAAAAATTGAGCTATTGAAAACAGAATCACTGCAACTTGAAAATGGTTAAAAAAAAATGCAGTTTGAGTAATTAGTAAAAATAAATATTCTACATTCACGTTTCCTACTGTACCTTACCTCAACAAAAGGGTTTTCCCGCCTTGTACGTTATTTGATCTTTTTAAATAACGGTATAACGTCCCTCACGTCCTATAAATTATTTATCAGGACATTTTATTAATTGGAAGAAAATTTTTAGAAGTAAGAGTTTCACAAATTATAAATAGCGAAATTTATTGTCACGTGAGATTCAGAATGTATGTAGATTCGATTAAATTTATCAATTACAATATCGCGAGACCTAATTATAAAATAGCTTGTGATTGAATTAAGGAAAGTATCATTTTTTTGTCGCTTGGTCAGCGTACTATATGCTAATCAGAATTTTCCGTTCCGTTATAATTTTTTGTTACCGTAAAGGTTCCGAGATGGATGAGACAAATTTTTATTACTAATTTAATATAGTATTAAAACTATAAATTTCCTAAATAATGAATTATTACTGATCATTATTATTGTGTTATTTGTGGAAAGTAGAAACGTCGTAACGTGAAATAATTTGGTGAAGTAAATATTTCAAGAGCATATTTACAACGAGTTATATTATTAGGAAAGACATTATTTTTACAAACATCTTCACTAAGAACTTTCTTAATAATAATAATTTTGGAATAACATCCAATAACTGATAAAGTAAGTTCTATCTATAATTGGTGAATATGAATTTGAACAACCTAATCACTTTATTCTTGCACCAGTAATTATTGCTTGATATGATTGATTTTTCTACCGATAATTATAATATCAGCTCCTGAAGTCGCCCTTACAAAAAAAAGAGAAACATAAAACTATTAAACCATATTATTATAAATTATTCAAAAAATTTGGACCAAATATATAACCTGATTTTCCTTAAATATCTCATTATGTCCTTTTAACTCGATTATTTGATTTTGGCACCATGTTACCACTGTTTTGATTTCAGTAAATTTGAACTCCCAAACTCCCATAAAAGATTTCGAAACCAACTAGATCTCCTTGTCGTAGATTTTTTTGTTTTGAAGTTAAATATTAGTATCGTACCTATCGTATTAAATTTTTAAAATTAATATCAATATTTATAACATACAGCATACGTTAAACTCAATATATGTATTTAAAATTTCTCTCAGCTTAGCACAGTTGTAGAATTAAATTTTCATGTTTAGTATCTAATATTTTATCTTTAATGCTTCTTGTTCAAAATTTAACATTCTTAACTTGAAGTACAACTTGTAAAAAAAATAGTACCATCATGCTTAGTCCTTTTTTTGTCTTTCCATATTTAAAACATTTAGAGAAACTATTACAACTAACTAAATATGTCATTCAATATCATGGTCGCTGGTAATTTGATTTAGCAAATAACATTAGGCTACTTCAATGGACCAACAGTAGGCTAGTTTGATCAGCTTTTTAGTCATGTTACACTAATCTCATGATCAAAGTTCAATTTTGAGTTGGTTTGATTGATAAACATAAGGCAACCAATAGTTATGGTTTTGTTTATTTTTGTCAGTATTTTTGTCTACTCGACCAAAAAAACCTAAATTTTTGATAGTTCACGTTGAATGGTCAGTTGATCATTCTACAGTTAAATTTATTGGTCTGAATTTTTAGTGCAACTGACCAAATATCCCGTTCAATCAATTATGAACTGGCCTAGTTTTGCTGGTACACCATATACGTCTGATCGGGTTACACCAACCAATAAAACGTGTGATCAAAAATGCTGATCAATCAATTATGAAGTAGTCTATTGAAATGAATTGAGAAATCAGATGATGTAACTTTGTACCATTAAAAAAAATCTCATAAAAAAATTTCCTAATTTTTATATTGAATTAGGAAATTTTTTTAGCATAGAATAGTGTAGAATTCCTAAAAATTAAAAATTAGGAAATTTTTTTAGGAAAAATACAAAAATTTCATTATTGGGAAAATTTATAAATTGAATTTCATTTAAATGAGATGATTCAAAAGAATTTATACATTCATTAATGAACAAATTACAATATTTCGAATTTTTTTGACTTTAACCTTTACATTGTTGTATATAATAATTAATAAGAGGAAATTTTATATAAAACTAAATCAATATATATATATTAAAATTAGAAATATTATGATTAAAAACTAACAAAATTATTTTATTAAATATATTAAATCTTTTCTTTAAGTAAGGGTTATTATTAATACCTTTAACCACTGGATCATGTGTTAATTTAATATTTGAAGATAAAAAATGAATTAAATATAGAATTTAAAAAGAAAGAGAGAAAAAAAGTACATTATTTTTATAAAATATAATAATAATAATACATCATGTATTCACTAGAAATCTAAACCTATTTGTTAAAAGGAAGTGAAATGAATTATTGAATTAATGATGTTATTTTGAATTATAGGATTTCGTCATTTAAGCGTGATCATTGCCTAAGTGTTTATGTTCATCTTTTATGGATTGCGAATTAATGCTTATCCGCATCAACAAAATGGTAAGTATAATCACATCATATATAATGTATCTTGAAGGAATACTCATTTATCATCATTATTTATAGAAATATTCATTTGAATAAACATTAATAAGCAGATGCAATCAAAAAAATAGGATATGTATTTTATACAACCATTATATCTTTTAAGTGTTACTTCGCTGGAACCCAATGATGTGTAATAGTATGGTACAGAGATTTTTAGCTAAAGCCATGTTATTGCACTATGTGTTTATAGTATGTATTTAACTATACTTATTTTACTTATTTTTATTTATAATTACATCTACTGTAGATGTACCAGAAAGCATGTTTTAAAAATATCCTCAGGACGAAGAAAATTTCTCCTATAGAATTTCGAAGAATAAAGGGGCATAGAACGTATCAATATAACTTAGTGGAACTGGCTAACAATAGTCTACATGCAAGTTCGTATTTGTGAAGCAATTCCCTTTGGGATTCCAATTTTCTACACATGGATGACGAATTTCCTTTTAAATATTATATCTCTTAAATAGCACATTGTCGCAATTTAGTAAAAAATCTGATTCATATTTGGATTATTGTATACGATAATTCTTGTGAAAAATATTATAATAAAAATTATTCGCATATTAGGATCTTTATTAATGATAGATTGATAGAAAAAAATCTGAAGTTAGTGTTTGAAATATAAAAGTAACCCATCTCAATCATAAACTATGTTTTGGTTTTCAATTTCGAATTTATCACTTTGATGTGATGCATATTACAAATAACCATCGGTATATAACTAGGAATCAGTTGAATTCTATTACTCATTATTTGTTGTCAATAAATAGTAAAGAAATCTATATTTTTTTTTTTGAGTACAAAAATACGAAGTAAAAAAATGAAAGGAATTAGAAGAAAAAAGACAGATATCGTATTTTACTAAATACTGTTAACCGTTACTCTAATAATATGAAAATCACAAAATCATTTGGTAATCATTACAAATGACTATATTTACTGGAATTTATATCATAATTGGACATGTCTCTTCAAATTCTTCTGTCGATGCACCTTTCTCGTTTTCTTTGGGATTAAAGTTCGTCTGCAGTTTATTGTTTTCAGACTTAATGGGATCAATACCATTAAGGACTGAAATCACTTCGCAAATATCTGGTCTTTTATCAGGTTCACATTTCCAACATTCTGTTTAATTGATTAATAAAGTTAGATATTTAGATGCAATTCCAAAAGCATAATTTCGCATTATTTTTATATTCACTTTGATAAAGTGCAACAAATTTACTATTTGTACTTAGCATAGGATTCTCTCTTTTACCATCATTAATTTCGAGTATGATTTCGTAATCATTTTTTTTTGTTTCATAATCAAAGGGCGATGAACAGCTCGTCAATTCCCAGAACACTAATGCCAAACTATATATGTTAGAAATCACAAATACCATAAAAAAATTTAGGATTCACGTAGGGAATTGTGCCACGTCGACTAGTGGAAACTTTATCCCCTTGTAGAAGTGAGCAGCTGAAATCAGCCAATTTTACAGTATAGAATATAGATTATGTTTCAAGAGTTGTGAACATGAGAAACGATTTTAATCATCATGCAGAATATAAAATAGATTAGGTTTCTATCCACTCCCACACCAGAATCCTTTTCGAGAATAAGAGTATGGCAATATTAATAGGACCATGCGCCTAAGGTTTTGTGTTGGTATGGGAACATGCAGAACATTAATGAAAAAAGATACATAAATGCGATCAGTGTAAAAACTCATTGGCTGATATCCAACACCTCGTTCGCACTTCGAAATCCAGTGATTTCATTTCGTGTCTTTTTATCATCTATGAAGGAATCAGTGAGGAGACAGTCTATTTCTAGTTCATAAACATCCCAGGTTCCGTCTCTATTCATATGATACACTTTTATCATCCTATTATTGAACAAATTTTTACTTTATATCCTCTGGTCATCTTAAAATAAAAATTGAACTGGGTTCACAGTATCATGTAATCTGTAACTGTGGTAAATAAAAAGTTCATGATAGTTAAATCCATGTATTCGAAACTATGAACTACGAAATCAAAAATTTTTTACTTCTTATTTTGCTCTTTGAGCAGTCTCTGACTGAAAAACATAAATGTCCTGGCATAAAAAGTTACCTTTCTTTGTAAAATAAAAACAGTCTTTTTGTCTATAGTAATAATTGTTTTGATCAGACTCTTCACTTCATCTAAAACGAGCAGTCTAACAATAAATTACTTTGCGGTAGCGAAGTGTTCATATATGAAAGTAAACAATTAAGATACGATATATTGATCTAATAATATCTTGTGAATATTGCTTTATTTAGCATTGTAAAATTCTTGTTTGATAATGGAAATACATTCAGTATACAGTACATATATCAACTAATGAACATAATTATCCAATTGTCATTGACAATACCACTTAACTAAACTATGCTATCAGTACACATATTTTTTTAGGGGATGAATTTGACTTTCGACAATATGAATGGTGGTTTAATGAAGATCCAGTTGGTAAATGGGATGAGATTATGGTATTGATCGTGGATTTTACCCGTTCCTAACGTAAATAAATAAAAGATGAGAATAAAAAATGAGAATAAACTGTGGAGTTACAGTTTAAAGATTTATGAAGTAAAGTTCTTACCAACAATGAATATAGGGTCGATACTACAGTGATTATGTTCAAAAAATTCGCATTTTCAGTCAGGAGCAATACTTTCGATATTAGATTGCAATGGTATAGGCCATCATACGTCAAATCGGTGCTAAATATTTTAATTTCACTCCCTATTGGTTTTACATCTGATTAGTCAATAATCAACATTAGTAAACCATACAACTATACTTACCATAAATTAATATGCCATATGTTTCCAGACCAGCCATGTAACTGTAAACGTTAATAAGATAGTCTAAAGACCCTTCATAAATTCTGCTAACTTTATAATGTGTTAATTTACGGCGATAGTGCAATGAGGTGGCTTTATCTCGCCAAATATGAGTTCCCTGTCAGCCTCTTCAATATTTACGAGAATCCAAAAGTCTGGCTTCCTACCATAATTGTGATCATCTAATAAACGTCTCTCTTTAGAACTTTCAGATTCGCCATTTGCCCTGTTCCAATAATAAGATGTGAGCATATATTAATATGCCATAGTTAAAATTTACAGTAATAAGAATCTTACCAAACTAATGAAAATTCAGCTTTATTAAAAATTTCCTCAAGTATTTGATGACAGTACCGATGGACAAACGTATCTTCATCCATTTTTTTATTCTCATTGTAACTTACCGAGGATAAATAGGTAATGCTGCAGGGAAAAAATGAGTATCAGTGATACATTGATGAAATAGGTTTATTAACTAAGAACATACAAATTCCTTGCAACTATTTGCACACAATCAAAAATGTCTTTGTCTTCGCTTGTTAATAACGTATTCCCTTTTGCCCAATTATTGCGCCACTTTGTATCAAGTTGTTCTTTGTCGCTCAAAAGCTAAAAAATAAATAAACAATTAATGTGGTTACTGAGTTTATAATAAATGCAAGGAAGGTACTTACCCTGTTGTATTCAATTATTACTAGGTCAGCGACTGTTGGCAACTCTTTCGGAATCAATAATCTCAGATGAGCCTAGGGCTCCGATCAGTTTCGGTAAATACCGAATCGAACCGACCGGTTTCGGTATCGGACCGGTTTCGGTTTTTCGATTTACCGAACCGAATCCTTCGGTAAATTTACCGATCGGTTTCGGTAATTTCGGTTTCGGTATCAGTTTTGCGATTTACTGAACCGAATTACCGAATAAAGTTAGTACAGTAAATTCGGTAATACAGATTGATTTTATCAATCTTTTTTTTTAAAAAAATTCTTTCGTTAATAATTTCCTTTACCCTTTCGTTAATAATTACCCTTTCATTAATAATTACCCTTTCGTTAATAATTAATTACCCTTTCGTTAATAATTAATTACCCTTTCGTTAATAATTAATTTCCCCTTTCGTTAATAATTAATTTCCCCTTCGTTAATAATTTTCCTTTCGTTAATAATTTTTCTTTCGTTAATATTAATTACTACATACTATTTTTTTTTAATACTTTAATCTAATATAATAATGACGGATTCAGAAACTGATCAAACTGATGAAGAAATGGAGGAAGAAGTGGAAAAAGAAGTGCTGGTGGAGGAAGAAGTGGACGAAAAAGTGGACGAAGAAGTGGACGAAGAAAATGAAGAAGGAGACGAGCATGAAGTGGAACAAGATGAAGGAAATAATACTAAGCGTAATACTAATAAGCGTAGTTGGGTTTGGGAGCATTTTAAGTTCGAAGACTCAGCGAAAAAAGCCAGGTGTAACTATTGCAAGAGTTTGATCAGTTGTAATAAAGGCAGTACCACTGGACTATCAAACCATCTTAAAAGCAAACATAGTTTAACAAAAGATCAAGGAAGAGGACAACTCACTATACGTGAGGTCATCAATAATTCTAAAGCAATTGTAAGTGATCATTTGTGATATTAAATATGAATATTTTTTAATTTTTTCATATATTTTTATTCATATTAAATTTAGGTATACAGTAAAGAAACTTTTAGGAAATTTCTTATTGAATGGATCGTAAAAAATGATCTTCCTTTCACATGTGTAGAATCGAAAGATTTTAGAAATATGATTTGTCTTTTGCGCAAGGATGCATTTATACCGTCCGCCGACACAATAAAAAATGATATAATATCAATTTTTAATGAAAGTAAAAAAAAAATTTGTTCTATTTTACAGGTATTATATTTGTATTTTTGAATAATATTTTATTTGAATTATTTGAATTCTACTAATTAATTCAATTTTTGTAGAATATGTCTAAAAAAATTTCTTTCACAATAGACGGCTGGACTTCTTCAAATAATATATCTTTTTAGGCATAACAGCCCATTTGGTCACAAATGAATGGGAATTAAAGAGCTTCCTTTTAGATTTTATAAAGCTCGATGGTCCGCACTCAGGTGATAATATTAAGGAGGCTTTTCTAAAAAGTTTGAGAAGCTATAACATTGAATTAAAGGTTAGTTTTATAAATAGTGAGATAATTTAAAAACAGAAAACAAAGTTAAAAAAATTTTTTTATATAGATCCTTAGTGTAACTACGGATAACGCTAGTAACAACGTCACATTCCTCCAGGCTGTTGAAAACGAATTATCCAAAAAATTTATTGATTTTAATAGTAAAGATAAACATGTGCGTTGTTTGGCCCATGTTATGAATTTGGCTGCACAACAAGCCCTTGTTACGCTCAAAGCCATAGAGGATAATGAACCATCAAATGAAAATAGTGGTCTTATACATAAGGTAGATTTTATCCTTTTCTTTTTTTAATTAATAATTAATAAATTTATTAATTATATTCTTTTTTAGCTTCGTACTCTCATTAAAAAAATTAAATCATCCCCGCAGCAACAAGAAAAATTTCAAGCTCAATGTAGAGTCGCAAATATTTCCAAATTAAATGTAATACTTGATGTGCGTACGAGGTGGAACTCGACCTACGATATGCTTGTAAGAGCGAGAATTCTCAAAGAAGTAAGTTCATTTTATTTTATTATTTTAATTTTATTTTAATTATTTTATTAAAAATTAATTATAGCTTTATTTTTTCAGCCAATTAATACATTAAGTAATAGCGACCCAAGCCTTCGTGCTTTGACAATTAGTGAAGATGAATGGGCTCGCCTTGGTGAAATAGAATTATTATTAAAGGTTTGATTAATATTATTTATGTATTTACATGATATTATATATTTTTTATGGTTTTAAATAAAAAAAATATATATATTTTTTAGTGTTTTGCTAAGGCAACCAAACAAATTTGTGGTGAAACTTATCCAACGATTTCTTACATGATTCCAATATTTAATATTTTATTAAACAAATTGGAAGATTTTCGAGATACCTCGGGTCGATTTGAGAATGGAAAAGTAAATTGTAATTTATTTAGTATTTTTATATTATTAATTGTAATTAATTTCTCTTTTTTAATAGGAAGCGGCGATCAACGCTATTAACAAGCTAAAAGATTATTATAATAAAACTGATACAACTTTATATTCAGCTTCACTGAGTAAGTTATTATACATTTTATATATACATTAATTTAGTTTATTATTAATTTTGCTAAATTTTTTTTTAATATTTTTTACAATAGTTTTAGATCCACGTCTTAAATTAGAATACATGAAAGATAATGAGTGGGAGAAATCTTGGATTGATAAAACAAAGAATGACGTACGTATGAACTTAAAATTTTTTAATTCATTTGATTTAAATCATATTGTAATTTCTTCATCTCATATTATATTAACAATTTGATAGGTGTCCGAAATCTATAATACGTTATATGCACCACAAGAAATTCAAAATATTAGCATAGAATATAATTCTTCTGATGAAGACCTAGTTTCCCATATTTCAAAACGACGGCATACAGAACCTATAAGTGAATTAGATCGTTACCTAAAAGCTGATCGTGCGCAAGCTCTTACTGATATTTTAAATTGGTGGAAAGTAAGTTTTATTATTTGAAGCATATTTAATTAATTAATTATTTATTTTGTAACTTTTTTTTATAAATAGCGACACGAGGAGGAATACCCACATTTAGCAATCATGGCAAAAGATTTCCTCGGAGTTCCAGGTTTTTTATCTATAATTTTTAATTATTTAATTATTTTTCAATAATATTTATTGTAAAAATATTCTTATTAAATAGCAACAAGTGCGCCTTCTGAACGAATTTTTTCTAGTGCTGCTGATGTTATTACTTATGATAGAGCGAGTCTTGCTCCTGAAATGGTACGTTCAGTCATGTGCTTAAAACATTAGTACCGCTCAGGTTTATTAGATTAATTGATATATATAAAGAATTTTATAAAAAAAAAATTAAATTCTTGCATGTGTTTTTTTTTGCGTAAATATTTTTTTTTGTTTTGATAAAAGGAATTATTCAGTATTATGTGGCAAATGTAAAAACTCGCTTTATTAATAATACATGCAAATAAATACAAAGTTCAGTGTTATAACTTTTCGAAACATTTTTTTATAACGTTTCGCAGTATTTTTTAATCATTTTTTAAATAAAAAAAAAATAAAAAACGTTTATAGTAATTATTTTTAAATAAAAAAAATAAAAAAACGGTTTGTTTTTTTCTAATAATGTTCGGTAAATCGGTTCGATTTTTGGTAATTACCGATCGGTTTCAGTATTAGTGATTACCGAAACTGATAGGCTTCGGTAATTATAAATACCGAAACCGATTATTTCGATTTGGTTTCGGTTTTTGTAAAAACCGAACCGAACTGAACTGATCGGAGCCCTAGATGAGCCTCTTTCCATATCTTTTCAGAATATTTAACATATTCTGGTTTAAGTTCATTGCAATACATAATCGACGATAGGCACCTGTAAGTAATTACGGAGTAACGATTATAGCGAATTTCTGTATTTTTGGGTGCACCCTACGGATGGTTTCACTAGCCCAGTCTCTGACAGCATAAAAAACTTACAATATCATATCGATTTCTTTTGCATATGATAAAATCAGATCAGTTTTCAACTTTTCGATTGATTCCACTTGTAATTTACGAAAATCAGTAGAGATGTTGTAACCATCCGGTATTATCCACTATATAAAAAGAACGGGATTTGACTATACCAGGACAAAGACGTCACAAACCCATATTACAATACTTACATCATTCTTGAAGACATTATTTATGACAACATTATCAATCGCATGACTTCACGATAAAACGACCTTAGATAATACAAACTAAATTAACTATTGTTTATTTTAAACGGCTGTACACCAACTTTCACTAACCTTATATTTCGTTGAACCCCTCCTGTTTGTGCTATAAAGGGATTATTGTCATTCCCATGGCCTACATCAGAATCGTTGTAGCAATTTGACTTTGAGAGGAATACAGATTAGAAACATAATACAGAAAGTAAAACAAAATCGTCAAAATTCATGTCAGAATTTACTGAAAAGAGAGAACCGTCATCTCCCCTTTCCTTAGGAGAACCATGTGTTTCATCTTCTACATTCCTTTGTCATTCTAGAGTCTGACTTTTGCCATCTTTGATAGTGGTTTCAGCCTACGTTCAAGTTTATTTTGTTTATAACAAATTTAAGGAGGACCTTTAATCTTAAAATATTGGTTAAAAATTTCTTACAGGCTTTTGTTTTTTTCCCCTTCTGATTGCTATCATTTCGTCAATGGGTTGTTTACCATTCCTATAGGAGCGTTTATATCCTTGAATAATATTCCCGGTTCTACTGATTTGTAAACTACCACGGAATAAATCACAAGATAAATCACAAGATAAAAATACATTTTAAGCGTTTATCTCGTTATTCTTCACCGCATTATGTTATTTCATTCTAGGTAAGGACTTCAACCAAAAATCATCAATGTGTCCTATATTTTTGAAATCGACCTTATATGAAAAATATACAAGTTAATGTATCAAGGCTATCAAAACTAAAAAAATAAGAGGACTAGTAGCGGACTAGCTAAACTACAGCGGAGACGAAGTCTATAACTATGCGAAGACTAAGTTCTATAGGTAGCTATATCTAACAGCGGAGACGAAGTCCATAACCATGTGAAGGCAAAGTTCCATGGGTAGCTACTGCTAGCAAATAAGCTGTTACATAAATTACTGAGAACGCTAACCTGAAATTGTTTTTTGAGACGTATTGCATTATTCTTCTCTTCTTCTGTGCTTTGTTCTTTTATCTTCTGCAACTGTGTGTTAAATCTTCTCATTATGCTTGCTTTATTTAAACCGAAGTTACTTTTTTTCCAAAATGCGTGGTACTGAACCACGTCCCAGTCGTTGCATGAAGTATTTAGGAAATAATCGAAGCCTGGTCCAGGTTCTTTAATTTCAAATAACATTTTTATGGTAAGAGAAGTCAGTTTCAACTTATTCGCTCATTTTTTACTCCACATTTTTACACTTATTGGGAATACCAACTACATCTTGTATTTCCATAAAGAGTAAAGTATAACAGATAACCCGATATAGTAAATGACTTTGATGAACAAAAAATTTCTGATAATTATATGTTGTCCACTAGTATTGGAAATAATGAGATCATGACCCAAGGTCTCAGTCGTCTTATATCACAGTTATTTCTTCTCTGCAGGTTGGTCTAATGCTAAAGAACATATAGCAGCCAAGTATTTCTAGTAGCAATAAAAATACAGGACGTAGCTAAAAGTAACAAAAACTTAAACACATAACAAAGAAGTTTCACAATATGGGAATACCAACAGCGAAGTTTTCTGTTTTTATTCTTTGACTTATGAGTTAATCCAGAATAGGTAAATCATAGCATTTTGTACAAACCAGCAGTTTAACTAAATAATTCGGGAGATGTACTTTGTGTCACAAAATTTCTGTCACATCAATGTATAACTTACAGTTTAGGTGTGATGTTTTATGCGGTGAACTTGTATGAAATTTTTTTGGGGCGTTGCTCAGTTCTACTGAAATATGCGTGTACTGTACATTTACTGTAATACAGGCTGTCATTAGGATTTGTGAATTGTATTATTGGTCAACTATATGATTCGCAGAATATGGATCACATCATTGCGTAATTTACGTGATGAAGAATTTTTTTAAAAAAAATGCAGTAGAGTTCTGTTACTAGCCTCCTACTAAATTTATCGCCAACTAGCCATAGGTTTTCTCATAAATAGCTCTGTAACTGATTTTTTCAAGGCAAATAAGTTGTATATATACCCTGGCTTAGAGTATAATATGAGCGGTTTAAAATTTTCATTGCATAATTATACAGATCCAGAATTTGATCTTTCCGCATCTCAATTCTTTCTTTCTGTTACCATTATTACCAACATTATCAATATATCTATTCACAATTTGTAGACGAGTTTCTAATACTGAACAAATGAAAATGGTTGCAGTATATTATAAATTAAATGTGTCATGATACGAACAAACATTTCACGAACACCAAACACATATTTTTTAACATAAATCACTTTGTGAGCTCCTCTCAGATTGTGTCGTTCTCTCAACCAATGGGATCGGAACAAAGATATCAAAAAAAGGTAAGAGTAGAATAGGACCCCGGAAAATGCTTATATATGTAAGGTACCAAGGTGCTTAGCCAACATAGTAAAGTTTTATGATGTAAGAATTTTATAATGCTTAATTTTAAAAAAATTTTATACTATGTAAGATAATTAAATTGCATATTTTTGGTATTATTTTAAAATACTAAGAGTTTTTAGTTGCTTATTTTTCATATTTATATAACTTTTTAAAATATTATATATTGAATTTATAATTAATTTTTATTTATTTTCACCAACGGCGAGTGTTAATTTTGTACTACATTTCACAATTTTATATAAATACATAAACAAAAATTTTTTTTTTGATGAAATTTCATTTTTTTTCAATGTTTTATTNAGGATAACAATGTCCTTAATTACAAGGACAAAAATGTCCTCAAATTATAAGGACAAAAATGTCCCCTCAATGCAAGGACAGAAATAACCTCAATTACAAGGACAAAAATGTTCTCAATTACAAGAACAAAAATGTCCTCAATTATAAGGACAAAATATCCTCAATTGCAAGGGCAAAATTGTTCTCAAGTTACAAGGACAGAAATGTTCTTAAATATGAGGATAAAAGTGTCCTTATAGTTGGACAAAAATATGTCCTCATAGTTGTGAGGACAAAAATGTCCTCAAAGTTGCAAGGACAAAATATACTCAATTTACAAGGACAACAATGTCCTTAATTACGAGGATATCAAATTAAAAATGTCTGCGCTTATAAGGTCACATGATCTCTGCTTAATATTGGCCAATAAAAACCATGGTTTCCGTAGAGGATATAACCTATGCATTTGAGACGCGATAGATAAGGTTATATCCTTTGCCGATCAGGCGAATGGGATGCATTTTGTACAAGCCAGCAGTTTAACTAAATAATTCGGGGGATGTACTTTATGTTACAAAATTTCTGTCACATCAATGTATAACTTACAGTTTGGGTGTGATGTTTTATGCGGTGAACTTATATGAAATTTTTTTGGGGCGTTGCTCAGTTCCACTGAAATATGCGTGTACTGTACATTCACTGTAATACAGGCTGTCATTAGGATTTGTGAATTGTATTATTGGTCAACTATGTGATTGGCAGAATATGGATCACATCATTGCGTAATTTATGTGATGAAGAATTATTTTTAAAAAAATGCAGTAGAGTTCTGTTACTAGCCTTCTACTAAATTTATCGCCAACTAGCCATAGGTTTTCTCATAAATAGCTTCGTAACTGATTTTTTCAAGGCAAATAAGTTGTATATATACCCTGGCTTAGAGTATAATATGAGCGGTTTAAAATTTTCATTGCATAATTATACAGATCCGGAATTTGATCTTTCCGCATTTCAATTCTTTCTCTCTGTTACCATCATTACCAACATTATCAATATACCTATTCACAATTTGTAGACGAGTTTCTAATACTGGACAAATGAAAATGGTTGCAGTATATTATGAATTAAATGTGTCATGATATGAACAAACATTTCATGAACACCAAACACATATTTTTTAACATAAATCACTTTGTGAGCTCCTCTCAGATTGTGTCATTCTCTCGACCAATGGGATCGGAACAAAGATATCAAAAAAAGGTAAGAGTAGAATCTTTGCAAAACACATATTACTATAAGAAATAACTCAAAGTATTATGAAATTCATTAGACAGTTAATATCAAAGATAAGCAACTTAACTGAGATCATCAGAGACGTGGTCGAGATATTATTTAAGGAAGAGAAGACTCAAAATGGAGAAGAGTTGGATTCGCATATATCCCGTATACTGTATACATCAGAGTTTCCTAATGGTAAACACACATGCCTTTTACATTTATTTTTAGAAGTATTGATTTAAGTTTATTTTAATGGAATGTTAATTACATATCTTCTAAATGTTTAGTTGCATGTTTTATTGTACGCTTGGCATCTCTCAGTATTTGAGAAAATTTCAGTCGGAGACTAAACTACACCAAAACTACGTGTTAATTCAGATGAAAGTATCACAAACTGAAGACATACAGATAAAACGACTTTTAACAATCAGAAGCTATTCTCTGGGATAATTGTGGGTTATCTCTGAGATAACAAGAAATAAAAGTTTCCTTACTTAAGCAGTCAACTGATAAGAAAAGATTAATAAATGAAACTTCATAGCACTTTTTTCTTAGTCGTATTCTACAATGATTTTAATCGCTTGAATTTGAGTTAAAAGATTGTCAGATGATACTGGTGTTCATAATCACCAATACACAAACAAAATAACCATGAATGTGGAACTGTAACATAATAAATATTTTTTACCAGGAGATGTTATAATATTGCAGTCAACATCTCTGGTCTGGATTATTACTATTGTAATAAAAAGAATGTTAATATAATGAACGAAAACTAAGGAATTGGCATTCTCTAAGAACTCCGTTACTCCTCTCTCAGGGCGTCTTGCTGCTCATTATTCATTTTTTAACTATTTACAAACATAATCAACTACGTGAAAGAAATGTATAAAAAATCTTCATTTACTTGGAATGTCTATTCATAGACTGATTTTTTGAGGAACGAGAAAAATTGGGAAGGATGGAATCTAGGAAGATTATGAAGGGAAAGTGAATAGCTTTCTTGTTATATTTGCTTTTCTTTTGGGAGTAGAATAAATATGGATGGTGTTCACAAATAAAACTAACTCCAAAATTACTGCATATTTGTGATACTGTTTCTTCGTAAGCAAAAACTTCCATTTTTTAATTCATCAAAGCGTTTTTCTATTATTCGAATAATGTTAACTAATGATCGACTCTTGTTTCATATTAGAAAAAAATCCTACCTGGCTGGGATACGAACAAAATTTATTTTATGACAACATTAGTCCACCCTGAAGGGGGCACCACAGGCTGGAATAGACCTTCAAAGAAGTGAGATTTTTCTGTCAACTACACTAGTATTTATTCACGTATTATCGATAATAGGAACATTCAGATAGTGAAACAAGTGAATACGATAACTCTAGGCGGGACTAATGACTAGAAGCAATATGTTCTACAGATCTGAACAGAATTACAAAATACGTTTTTTCTCGTTAGTTAAAGAATCTTGCTTAGAGATAATTCCCATTTCCGCTAGTAATCAGTTATGCGTGAAAATGGAGTGGATTTATTAGTTACAGTACTACACAATTGTTGTGTGCGCTTGATACGACTTCTGCATACAAAATTGAATAATAATCCTTGCAAAAAGGATCAGACTCTTGAAACTGCCAAGTAATGGAACAGATTACATTGTTTTGCCTAGTATATGGTGTTACACCAGTTGAGGATAGAATCTTCCCTATTCATATAAGTAGAAATAACACAATTGCAGGATTATGTGATATGATAGTCGAAAAATGGCATGACAACTATTCGGGAGAAAATCTTACTCTTTGGAAAATGAAGAAGAGTATAAACAGTTTAAACTGAAATTAGAAAAACGCATTGAAGAATATAAAAAGAAAAAGTTACAAGAAAAAAGTTACAAGAAAAAAAAATATTTACGAAAAGTGATCGGTTTAAAGGTAAAGTAGGTTTCATATATATTTCATATTTTGCAAATTGCAGCTTAAAATGCTTATATTGTTATTTATTATAAATCACTGCTAGTTGAGACCAAAAGTGGTTGTTTTCGGTTAGACAACATAAATCAAACTGTCTTAAATTTTATTGAATTGAGTAAAGTCTTTCCAAAGGAAAAATTCGTAGATGATTTAGATGAAAAAGAAAACGAGAAAGCCATAAATAGTTTACTCATCAAAAAACTGGCAAATATAGTATCAAGTAATATCAAATTTTATACTACGTTGCTCGGGTATATTATTTATATTCTAATTTGTATTATATTATTAGGCCTTTATTCTCGTAAAAATAAAGATATTTTCTGGAACGAATATACTTTTTTATTCAATGAAAGAAAAAGGTTTTCTCATACGAGATTTTCGTATAAAACAATGATAGAAGAACTACGTGAAATGGATTTCCACATTAGTGAAGATACTTTATCTAAAATCTATCGCCACGTTTCTTCTCCAAACAAAAATAGTAAAAAAGCCATCGAGGCATGGGTAAATAAGGAAAAGATGATTATGTGGATGCAGGATTATGAAAGATACATCGCGTTTAAAATAACTATGGGTTTAAAATAACTAGTAGCACGTGTTAATATAGCCATATAGCTTGTCTTTTGTCTCCATATTACTTAATAAATACAGCTATATTTTTTTTATTTTAATTCATAATTCGTTTCTGAACATAAAAAAAAATGAATCAGAAATCGAAAAAAAAGAATACAACTCTGAAAAAATCATTAACATACATTTTAAATTTTAAACTATGTGGAATTTATGTGAACTTCAAAAACTTGCTTAATATTTGTATTTGCATACCACCCATAATCATATGCAATACTATCCCATAAAACTTCTACAATATTATATAAGTCTCATCTTATTAAATTTTATGATAAAAGCACTTGAAAAAGTACATTAAAGATGTATATAAAAATATTCCTCTGGAATATTATAAAAAAATCATAAATTATATACCTCAGAATTGAAGCAGTTATTACTACAAGTGGGGTTAGAATTTATTGTTAAATTTTTGTTTAAAATAATCAATGAAGACACAATGATCATATTTAACTTAAATTTTCATTTTCAATATATCATATGTATATAAGTTTTTTAATTTGAAAAGTGGCCGGATCATTTAGGCCACCATCTGTATATTACGAGAAGAGGCTAAACTGAAGCGCCTTTAGCTAGAGTTTTTATCCCAATCCCTTTCACAGGATAAATTGGCATCGGTATCATATGATTATGATAATCGTGCAACTGATTATGAAACATATGCGACTATAGTAAGAAATACTTCTAAGCAAGAAATGATTTCACCAACTTCTTATAAATCCTCGAATTGCAAAGAAATATTTATCTCATCTCTGTTTGCGAAACAAAATAACTTATTACATCTATAAACCATTTTAATCAGCCAAAAGGAAGTGTGTGGATGGGTCAGAAATCATGATTGTTTAACTGGTTTGACTGACTTAGTGTTGTTAATTGACTTGGTTTCCATGCCTCTAACGGACTCTGTGATCCATTGATCTTCCAAGGTCTTGATTTCACGCCAATTAACAACACTAGACTGACTGATTCCGAGAAATATAATCCATTACTTTCTTGATATATATATTATTATTACATAATTTATTGGACCATGCATTATATAATAAATCAATTTACAAAAGTGCGTGAATTTTTTCACATGATCACATAATTTTTTTATTTTCTGAAGAACTATTGAAAGATCAATGTTACGATTTTGGGATTATTATACTCCAAGATTTTTAGGTACAGTATACTTTTAATTACTCAATTGAAAAAAAATCCTGAGACGCAAGTGCTGAGACGCTCATTTTTCGTCATCAATTCCCTCAGCTTTCACTTCATCTTTCACTTCATCCTGTGGTGCCAACACACTGGCTTGCGATTGGAGGATGCGGACAATGATGGAAATCACTTCCTTCGCCTCACGCATGTCTCCTCCGAATGCACAGACATACGGCTTGGAAATCTTTATGGTAGGGTTCTCTGGTAAACCGGACCAAAGGATGAATCGCCATTCATTTCCAGTTGACACGATGCCGCAAATTATTGGGGGGTCAGTGATTGACTCGTCGAGTTTACGTTTACGTTTCTAAATAGCGATGTGTCAGCCAAACAGCCCAAAATGAGCAATTAAACAAAGTCGATAAAGCCAAGTACCTCCGCCGCGGTATGAAGCTGCACAAGGATTTGTGCTATTCCTTTCTGGATTTCAAACATTTTGGCTTCCGAAATCAGAATTGCGAGATCTCGGCAATAGATAACATAGTCCAGGAGGCCATAGCCACGACTGCCGTCGAAATCTACTTCAACAACCAGCCGCGTCGATGGATATTTCGACCTAACTTTTGCAACTGCATCGACCATAAAAGGGTTAATATAATTACGTGCCGTAGCTTCGTTTGACGAAACTTCGTAATGAAATGCTGATGCAATTCTTTCGAGGTTGTCGATGAAGCGTCTCAGTTCATGCCCGAAGAACACAGAATCGGTTCCGAAGGTTACATCTGTAGAGACACCAATATTGATCAGTTTACAAAGTAAGGCTGACCTTACAGCCGATTTCATAATGTACGGGACACAAATGCAGGAGAGACACTCGGAGAAACTCGGTAAAACCCAGAATAAGGTAAAAGTTATACCGTTAGATTCGGTGTGTCCTGTACATTATGAAATTAGCTGTAATAAAAACCTCAATACAATACCTATATCGAGCTCAGGAATTGCTACAATTACTGAATATTGGTCGTGCAAAATTTCCTTGAGCACATCTTTAGGTGTCCATTCAGCATACGGTTTTTTGCCTACAAGCCATACGTGTAAGAAAATGTTTAAGATGTTGGTAATATTAAAAAATCGACCAGACCTTTGATTCGAATCAATAAGGATATGACAATCTCTCTATCACAATTCGGATTAGTCTTTTTCATCAGGTCAATGAATATGAACTCTTCGTCGATGGTTATCTTTTTTGTTTCCTGATCGACAAAGTAAAACGCATTCCCGTCCTCTTGCAGACGCTTGTACTTCTGTTTGGTTTTAATAAGAAGCATGTACCAGACTCCAGTCGTGTGGGGAAGGCAAATTTACGCTGGAGTACTAAGCAAACTGACTTTGACCACGACTATAAGGTCGGAGGCCAAGAGCAAGAATGAGTAAGGCATACTGTCCGAGCGTAAGAAATATGTACAAGAAAAAAAGACGTACTAGTGTTATCCGTCAGTGGATAGCGCACGACAAGTGGCTTTCCAGCTGACGTGTCCTGCTCCACAGCCTTAAGCGTAGTATCGAGAAGAAGAATCTCGGTGCGGGCATCGAAGTTAAAGAAATCCAAGTCCAGATTGTTCTTTTGGGCCAGTTCGCTGAATCGGTTGACAAGTTGGGGTGCAAGATCTGATAAATTGGCATCTCTTTTGAGATTGAAGGTAATATCGTCCAGTAGAATTGGTTAAGGATATCCCTCAAGGAGAATCCAGAGAGAGTAGACTTGGTGAGACATTGTGGAAGAAATGTGTATCTAAGCCACGTTTCACAGGTATCAATTTAGACAGCAGATCAGATGATCACCTCGATCACCCGTCATGACCTATAAATATGGCAAGCCAAGCTGGACTAAACTATCAGGCATTGGGCGGGTGAAAAATCAAGCATGGATTGACAAAATGTTACACCGTGCCTGACATTTTACCTGTTCATGCTTGATATTCATCTGTCCGTGCTTGATATTTATCTGTACGTGTTTGATATTTTTATCTGTTCATGCTTGATGTTTATCTATCACGTGCTTGATATTTTTATCTGTTTATGCTTGATGTTTATCTG